ACCTCATAAGGTATTTGTATTGAAAGAGGTCGCACTTGGTGCGATGGCAAGTGCCTTCGCCCATGAGCGGTAGGTCTCGGGTTCGAGACTTGGGAGCAGCCTCTCCATAAATGGGGGTAAGGCTAGCCGACATTTACCTCTCCCAGACCCTGCGTAAAGCGGGAGCCTTGTGCACTGGGTACGACGAGGGTATTTGTATTGAAACAAAACTTCGTAGGCTATTTTTCTTTCAGATACAAGTTGTTAAGACTTGGTTGACTGGAAACCACCTTAGTTACTCCAAAGCGCTCGTCTCAACTTTGGAATGAGCATTTGTGCTTAAGTTTTGCTTTTCATTGACTAGTTACCTAGTTTTTCTGAAACTTGGTCCCTTGTACCTTATCAATTGGTTTCTGCAGGTGGCATTTCGTGCAAAGATTGGGAAAGGATATCAGCTTCCTCATAAAGGGATTATACCAGAAGAATTTGGAGTGGTATATTCTTAGCTTGTTAGATAGAATTTTTTCTGATCACTTATTATTTTTCTTTATCTTCCGTCCACTTGGCATGTGTGTGTTTCCTTTCTTCAGAAGAGTTTCTTTTATTGATTTTTATTTGTTTTGGAAACTCAGGTTGCTCGATATAAAGGACAGGGGAGGCTTGCTGAGCCAGGGTTTCGCAATCCCCGATGGGTCGATGGTGAACTTGTTATTCTTGACGGGAAGGTTTTATACTTCTCTGCTTTATATATTTTCCTGTGTTTTTATTTCAGAAAGTACTCATTCAGTATCTCTAGAATGCATAGTGACTGTATGATATACCTTTATGAAACTGTTGCAGTACATTAAGGGTGGACCTGTTGTTGGATTTGTTTACTGGGCTCCCGAGTATCATTTCTTGGCGTTCTTCAATCGGTTGAGGCTTCAAGAGTAGCTTTCCATTGTACATAACATTGCAGTTGATAGATATTTTTGCGAAATTTTGTAGGGTAAGTTCTTTCTCATTAAAATTATTCATTCAAACTATTGATGTTTTAGGGTACTACCACAAATGTTGCTGTGTTTCCCTTTTCTCCTGAAAGTTGCTCGCATATATTGGAGTTCTCTAAATTCCAGTGGCAATTTTTTGCTACACAGCATCATTTTAATTTGAGTTGATAGTTAACTTTTGATACGTAATGTAATAAACCATAAGGTGGGTTGTCCGATATGATATGGTGTACTTATCTGAAATTTTTAGTAATCATCTCAAAAGAGGGCCTTATTATAACCCTATCAACTATAACCAGCCATGCTCTTTGAAAGGTGGGACATTTTGGTGGTTTTCTTGTATGGACATCCGTCGTGCATTTGCTAATCATCGTTAGCAGGCTTTCCTGTGTGATTGTATTCCTATGTAATATGCGAATAACAAGTTATTTGAATACAACACCAGCATGATAGTTGTTGCATTCCCCTCTGATGAAGGTTTCCTTTCTTGTCTCTTGTGTTATGCAGTTTAGAAGATATCTACTACATGTCTACTGGTGCACTTGCAAGCATGTTAGCTCAAAAGCAACCGCGCTGAAGCTTTGGAATGGAATAGAATAGAATAGATAGCTCAAAAGCAACGTCGCAACGTTTTGGATCTATGTGCAATTGCACCTTTCGCTCCTCCTAAGCGGCCTCTGAACGACACATATCAAGTACATTCTGCGTACTTCTCTAACTTATTCGGATGAGCACAAGCGCATGCTTAAAAAACACACACGCATGTATATATTCCATTTAGCTCAAGTAATACTCCTCCATTTAGAGACCCATGGATTTTTTAGCTGCAGCCAAACACAAATGGCTTGCTGTTTTGGCTCCTCCTTCTTTTACCATGCATGCATCAGTTCCTGCCAAAGCTTAAAAAGATTATTCTCATGTTAAGGCGTACGACTTAAGCTTGCACGCAAGAAGTCTTTTGTTGAACTGTGCGTGCTATCTAAATTAGGACAAATTAGATATATCGTATCGTTCGTTCATATATACCTAGTTAATATCTAATATCACATATGCATGCCTTTCCCCCATACCGTAAACCAAATATTGTATCTTAGATTCAATGGGATTCAAGAAACCATTCTTCGAAACATGGACAAGAGTTTTCTTATAGCGATTAGATTACATACACCTAGTTCGACCACCCCTCCTTATTTTCTCCGCTAACCAATCTCTTTTTTATAAATCTTATGTCATTAACGATTGACCAGCACAGAAGCATTGTGTAGAGACATGTTATGCCTGATTTACCTGAGGATGAGTGTTTCTGGCAACCTGAAGAGGATCATCAAATGTGGCGTAGGCGCACGAATAAACGACTGCATTCCCCAAAGGAGTAAAAAACGGCGGTTTCATGCTGATAAAATCAGAGGTTGGGGTAGGCAGCTTGTGTCGGGGTCCGTAAGGATGAACCCATGCCAAACAAACAAACAAACATTAGAGCAACTCCACCTATGGAGCCCTCTCCCCTGGTAATCCACTATTCAATCTACCTTATTGAACAGTAACTGCCTTAAATGAATAGTAACTACCATTAATGAACAGTAATTGCCATTTACATCTCCACCCTTGGAACCCTCCCCCTGGCAATAAGTAATTAAAATAATAGTTTTTTTTGTTTGTTTAAATAATAAAAAATTGCAAAAGCTCTCTCTCTCTCTCTCTCTCTCTCTAACACAAAAAAAATAAAAAATTGCAAAGCCCTCGGGTCACAGGCCCATCAACTCCCCACCCCCACTTCGCTCGGGATCCCACCGTCGCTCGGCCTCTACACGGCTGGACCTCTCTCCACTGGGCCTCCGGCCCCTTCTTCTCCACTATCCCCCGAGCAACCCACATGGGTGGAGTTGCTCTAAGGCAGGCAGCAGTTGGGACCATGAAATAAAAAGAAGAGAACCGTTGTTCCCTAGAGCTATATATTAAGAGCAACTCCACCCATAGAGCCCTTCCCCCTGGCAATCCACTATTGAATCCACCTTATTGAACAGTAACTGCCTTGAATGAATAGCAACTGCCATTAATAAACAGTAATTGCCATTTGCATCTCCACCCTTGGAGCCCTCCCCCTGGCAATAGGCAATAAAATATTAGTTTTTTTTTTGTTTAAATAATACAAAATAAAATTATTTGTAATTTTGATAAGATTTTTTAAATCGTTATCGTTGCGCCACATGTCATTTTATAAATAAATAAAATTAATTATTTAGCGATGAATTTCGATAAGAAGTGGTATTTATAGAAAAGTAAAAACAATTTTTTACAAATTTTTTTCAGATTTTTTACAATTTGTTCGGATTTTTTCCATTTTTTAAAAAAATTTATTCAAATAATTAATCTCTACCGTTGGATTTAAATTTTTTTGAATTCCAACACTCCAGATTGTGCCACGTGTCACAACGGTAACTTTTCTTAATTTTAAAACTATTTTTTCTTTATTTATAAAGCATATTAATATGGACCGTTGATCTCAAATCGAACGGTTGATATTAAAGAAGTTTTTTTTTATTTTTTTTACCGTTGAGATCCAACTGTCTAAATGAAGGAGCCGTTGAGATCGAACGGACCGTGGGAAGCCACGTGGCTTCCCAACGGTAACTGAGACAGCTGTTGCAAGTGGGCTGATTTTCTGAAAAGCTGTCGGGCGACGCGCCCCCACGCGCGAGTGGGGTGCACGCGCCTGACAGAAAAAAATAAAAAAAAGGCTTGGAGCTCGGGCTCCGGGGCTGTCACAAATTGACAGGCCCCCTGCTCAGGCCTTCTCCACGAGCTCGGGCTCTTCAAGGCTGGAGGTGATTCACAGGGCCTCGGGCCCTTTCTTCTCCCCTGTCCCCCGGGCTTCTTGCACGGCTGGACTTGCTCTTACAAAAAGGGGTGTGTGGGTCAGCTGCGCAAGTGCACAATCCCCAACACGACAGTCTTGGGTCCGCGTTTGTGAATAACATGATGGTGATTATAAGAGGATGAAATGCTTTGTGAATCTTTTTGGCCATTGAAAAAGTAGATTACCATGACGAAGTCACCAATAGGTCACATTTTAAGAAAAAGAGAGAAAATATTTTTAACCCTTAAAAATACACAAATATTAGTTTTTAAAGAAAATTTAAAACGTAGCTAAAAACTCATACCAATTGACCAAAGTACCCACAAAATTGAAAATCAAACACCAAAAGAGAGGAGTTTTTTTTTTTTTTTTTTTTTGGTTGGGTAAACTATGGGGGTAAGGCTAGCCGACATTCACCTCTCCCAGACCCTGTGTAAAGCGGGAGCCTTGTGCACTGGGTACGACCTTTTTTGTTGTTGGGTAAAATGCGGTTTGACTTCCTAACTATTATCTAGTTGAAATTGACTCCTTAAACTATTTTTTTGGTAAATTAACTCTTTGAACCATTAAAAATTAGTCAATTAACCCATTGCAATTAGATTGTGGAATCAATTATGTCAAATTATTTCATCATTAATTGTTACTTGTCAGCTATAACTACTAATAAAAGTTTAACACATGAACACAAAATAATTCAAAAATATATAGCATAATGAGAAAACATAAAAAAACCAAATGTTTACATAACGGACCATCTCACATTGTCATTACACATTATTTTACTTTTACATGTCATAATTACATTGTTGGTTATAGTTAAGTAAAAATTGATGAAAGAATGACTAACTTTCCCTTAAATTTGACGAAAAAAGTAGGTGGAACCGACAAAGTAATTTAGGAATAAACTTTAATTGGAGGGTACTGTTCACTTTAAATGAGTTTTTTTTTAATAGGGTTTGATTCTTGGAAACTTTAACAAAAAGCCTCTGTACTATTCATTTTACCATTTATTTTATTATTTTTGTTAAAAGTTAAAGTTTCCAAATCATTTTAATTAATTTCCTTCCATTTTTTCCTTACGGAAAAAATCAAAAGAGGAGCATGATGATTGAGAGGCATTCGTTTTAATAGAAATTGAGCCAATTAAATTGTCAGAATTGAAAAACCTACAACCAAGGCGATGATGAAAATTTCACAAAACTATAAAATCTGTAAATTAATTAATGGTTTACTGAAAATTCGTAAAATTTTTCTAACAGTGTTCTTCAAGTATTCGTTCTGATGGGAATTTAGCCCAAGTTTCTGCAACCCAACACCAAAGACTCCGGCCTCTTGGGGAGACGAGAGTAAGTGACAGAAAGAGAGAGAAGCTAGAGAGAGAAAATCATCTTCTGATTCTAGAGAGAGAAAAACCGCAGCGCAGGTATGTATATTTAGAGAGAGAAAGAGAAAGATAGAGAGATAGAGAGAGAGAGAGAGAGAGAGAGGTTGTGTGAGCGAAACCGAAACTATTTCTAGTGGGAGAGAGTATTATGGGAAGCACCTTTTTCTCTCTACCAGCGAAGCGTTCCCTATCGACGACAATGTCTTCTGATTCCAACCCCAACTTCGAAAAGGGACCCTCCAAGCGCTCCAGGCCCCCTCCTCCCCTCAGCGTCCCTCCCGCCCACGTCGCCTTCCGCATGCTCTGCCACGCCTCGCGCATCGGCGGCGTCATCGGAAAGTCCGGTAGCGTGATCAAGCAGCTCCAGCAAGCCACCGGAGCCAAGATCCGAATCGAAGAACCCCATGTCGAATCCCCTGACCGGGTCGTCGTGGTTATCGCTCCTAGCAAAATCGGCTCCAAGATTTGGCTGAGAACTCCAGTTCTAAACAATGTCTATAACGGTGGCGGCGGTGGTTTTGAAGAGGAGATTGAGGTTTCCAAGGCGCAGGAGGCGCTTCTGAGAGTGTTCGAGAGGATTCTGGAAGTTGCGGCGGAGACGGGGGCGATTGCGGCGGGGGTTGGGGTGGTTTCGTGCCGGGTTTTGGCGGAGGCGGCGCAGGTCGGGTCAGTGATAGGGAAGGGGGGGAAGGTGGTAGAGAAGATTAGGAAAGAAACTGGGTGTAAAATTAGGGTTTTGAATGAGAAGCTACCTGCTTGTGCTGCTGCCACTGACGAGATGATCGAGGTAAAGGTTGTGTCTTTGCTTTTCTGAAATGGGAATTGAGTTTTAGGTTTTAGTTAGTCGGATTGTTTGTGGTTGAGTGACTCCTGCATTGTTTTGGTATTGATATTTGTGTATGATGTGGTGAATTAGTCCCATTTACTATGGACTCTCGAACTTAATTTGTAAATTCTGTTTAGGGTTATGTGGAAATCGAAACTTGTTGGTGCACTCGGTGTATGTATATGCGACTGAACTAGTAGGTTAGGAAAGGTGTAGTTTAGCTTTGCTTGACTTTGTTGCCATTAGGACCAAAACTTTGAGTAAGATAGTGTGTATGGCAGTCTGTAGCTATGCTGAATTTCAAGAGTTATTTGTGGTTTCGGGTTTTTTTCGCATGTTTTCAATGACATATACAAATAGAAATGAACTGTATCTGGGCTAAGACAGCAATAGAATACTAACTGAGCTGAAGGTTTACATACCAAGAAGATAGCAAGTAGAATACTGACGAAACATTGTTAGAGACAAGGGAAACACTCTTGATTTAGGTAATGTAATTTCTGGAAATAAAAGTTTTCAATTGGATATTGACAATTATGATGCTAATTTGGAACCAATGTGATAGGATGTGATAACACAAGCGGATTCTACATATATCAGTGATGAGGGAGGTGGATACTTATGTACGATTACTTTTAGAATGTTCCAAGATTTATCATGTCTGCTCTGCTTATAATTAGGATTTTAATGACTGTTTATCAAAATGAATGAAATCTATAGGGGGTTATAAATGGTAACAATATCTGTAAGTTACTGATACAAAGGCTGGCAGTTGTAGATCTGCTAAGTTGGGTTAGTTGGGCGTGTGCCATTTGCATACTTAATTTTGACCTCAACCATAGCCCGTTGACTGGATTGAATTAGGTACCAAATAGGTGGAATGAACTTGGTAGTTGTTAAAGGCCATCATTTTTTTTCAGGATCTTCTTACATATGTACTATTTATGTAGCTTAACTTCTGACTTCACTTGCCTGAGAACTAGTCCAGTTCTAAACAATCGGCTACGAGATTTGGCTGAGAACTCCAGTTCTAAACAATGTCTATAATGGTGGGGGCGGTGGTTTTGAAGAGGAGATTGAGGTTTCCAAGGTGCAGGAGGCGCTTCTGAGAGTGTTTGAGAGGATTCTGGAAGTTGCGGTGGAGACGGGGGCGATTGCGGCGGGGGGTGGGTTGGTGTTGTGCCAGTTTTTGGCGGAGGCGGCGCAGGTCGGGTCAGTATTAGGGAAAACCGGGGGGGGGGGGGGAAGGGGGAAGGTGGTAGAGAAGATTAGGAAAGAAACTGGGTGTAAAATTAGGGTTTTGAATGAGAAGTTACCTGCTTGTGCTGCTGCCACAGACGAGATGATCGAGGTAAAGGTTGTGTCTTTGATTTTCTGAAATGGGAATTGAGTTTTAGGTTTTAGTTAGTCGGATTGTTTGTGATTGAGTGACTCCTGCATTGTTTTGGTATTGATATTTATGTATGATGTGGTGAATTAGTCCCATTTACTATGGACTCTCGAACTTGATTTGTAAATTCTGTTTAGGGTTATGTGGAAATAGAAACTTGTTGGTGCACTCGGTGTATGTATATGCGACTGAACTAGTAGGTTAGGAAAGGTGTAGTTTAGTTTTGCTTGACTTTGTTGCCAATAGGACCAAAACATTGAGTAAGATAGTATGGCAGCCTGTAGCTAAAAATTCTGAATTTCAAAAGTTGTTTGTGGTTTCGGGTTCTTTCGCATGTTTTCAGTGACATACAAATAGAAATGAACTGTATCTGGGCTAATTGTTTTGAAGTAGGGCTTGATACCAAGAAGACAGCAATAGAATACTAACTGAGCTGAAGGTTTACTTACCAAGAAGATAGCAAGTAGAATACTGACGAATCATTGTTAGAGACAAGGGAAAAACTAGAATATCTGTTTTGTCATCCAAAGTGGTACGAAGAGCTTGATTTAGGTAATGTAATTTCTGGAAATAAAAGTTTTCTATTGGATATTGACAATTATGATGCTAATTTGGAACCAATGTGATAGGATGTGATAACACAAGCGGAGTCTACATATATCAGTGATGAGGGGGGTGGATACTTATGTACGATTACTTTTAGAATGTTCCAAGGTTTATCATGTCTGCTCTGCTTATAATTAGGATTTTAATGACTGTTTATCAAAATGAATGAAATCTATAGGGGGTATAAATGGTAACAATATCTGTAAGTTACTGATACAAAGGCTGGCAGTTGTAGATCTGCTAAGTTGGGTTAGTTGGGCGTGTGCCATTTGCATACTTAATTTTGACCTCAACCATAGCCCGTTGACTGGATTGTATTGGGTACCAAATAGGCGGAATGAACTTGGTAGTTGTTAAAGGCCATCATTTTTTTCAGGATCTTCTTACATATGTACTATTTATGTAGCTTAACTTCTGACTTCACTTGCCTTTAAGGTTTGTTGTAACAGAAAATAGAAACAGAATATTCCTTTCTGTTGTGTTATACTAATGCTTCTAGTTCTTGATTGTCTGTTTGCCTCCACTTTAGCATATCTTACTAATTAAAAAGAACATCATACTTTTTTTTCTTCCCCGGAAATTGATTCAGTGGTGTGGCAGATAGAAGGGGATATTTTGGCTGTAAAGAAAGCACTTATTGCTGTTTCTGGCTGTCTTCAAGAATGTCCACCAGTTGACAAGACAAGGATGAGTGTAAGCAGGCCTGAGGCAGTTCCTCGTGAGACTCTACCTGATCTGCGTTTAGATCATCTTTCACAGAGGAACTCAATGCTTAATTTGCCAAGCAACTCCATGAGTTATGTTTCAGGAGTTCATCCATCATCAAGAGAGGCTGAAAGGATCCCCACACTTGAGACAAAACAACAGGAAGTTTCTTTCAGGATTCTTTGTGCCAATGATAGGATTGGTGGTGTAATTGGAAGGGGGGGTTCCATTGTTAGGGCTCTTCAAAATGAGACAGGTGCTGCAATAAGTGTTGCTGCCTCTGTGGCTGAGTGCGATGAACGATTAATTACTGTTTCTGCATCGGAGGTTTGTCATTCTGTCTTTTTTCTTTTCTTTTTCCTTTTTTTAATACCTATATTTTCTTATATCTGCTTCATATTCTATAGAATCCTGAATCAAGGTACTCGCCAGCACAAAAGGCTGCTGTTCTTGTCTTCTCAAGGTCCGTAGAGGCAGGCATTGAAAAGGGGCGAGACTCAAGCTCAAATAAAGGGTCACCCCTTACTGCACGGCTTGTAGTTTCATCAAACCAAGTTGGTTGTTTGCTGGGAAAAGGGGGTGTAATAGTTTCAGAGATCCGGAAGGCAACTGGCACTGGTTACGAATAGTAGGGGGTGACCAGGTCCCCAAGTGTGCCTTAGAGAATGATGAAGTTGTACAGGTGTGGTGTTATCGCATTCTTTAAGGAAGGCATAATAATTGGATTTTGTTTTGGTCCTATTGGTGAAATTCGTTATATTTGAAGTTGATGATATGAACTTGCAAGTTTCTCATATATTTATCATTTGTTTCCCAGATTTCAGGGGATTTTTCAAATGTGCAAGATGCTTTGTACAATATTACTGGTAGGTTACGAGATAACCTTTTCTCCAGCACAGTAAGTAATCCTGGAAGAAGGAGCAATTCATCCATGTTAACCGATACAAGTCCTTATGGAAGACTCAAGGATCCGAATCCTATTGGATATCAGCCATCATCATCGGTTGGTATTACTTGTGGTCTGAGCCGTCATTCAACACTAATTCAAAATATGGATCATCTTGGTCTTTCCCATAGTTTAGATCATCCTTCCCCACCAAGACCATGGGCATCACAGGTAAGTCTCTCACATGGTCTCAACTGTTTTTTTTTTTTTTTTTTTTTTTTTTTTAATATATTTTAGTTGATTTATGGATTATATTGCAGATGTCAGCTTTCACAGATGTTGGAAGGGGTCTGACTTCTTTAAAAAGTGGCACAGATATTGGCAGGTTAGAAAATTATGAGATTGGGCTAAGCCGCTAAGCTATACATGGGTATGAATATCAAATGAATGCTGTCTTGAAAGCATGAGTAAATAGCTTCAGACCACGAGATCTGAGCTGCTTGGTGTGAACAAAGTTGTTAGATAGGAGGTCATCTCATTATGATTTTCCTGGCTTGAGTTACGATTTAGTGGGCTGTATCTGAATTTATGGATACGAATTGAAACTGAAATTTGTATAATATATTGGATTAAATTTGGCTAGTAGTTAAATCAGACATTGTTAGTAATTTCCTTTCTCTTGCAGTTAACGTCAACCAATGATATTAGGCATTAAAAACATTTATATCTAGATTCACATTTCACCACTTTCTAGGAACTTGACCGCTCATGCTAGTTGATTGTCACGCACAGCATTTTTTCATAATTAATTGAAATACCCTTGACCGTCGCCTAAAAGTAATCATAGACTAGCTACCTCTCTATTATTCCATATCACACCTCAGTTTGTCACTTAATTGAAACACCCACCTCATTCGGTTTCAAACGGATACTGAAAATTCGTGCAATTATGTACTTAAAGTTTCTAATGGGATGCACCTTCCATTTTTTTTAATTTTTGTTTCTTAAACTCTGTCCTTCTGTAATAGCAGCGGGAGCAAATCTGCCATTGTGACAAATACAACTGTAGAGATCATAGTTCCTGAAAATGTTATTGGCTCTGTGTATGGAGAGAATGGTGCCAATTTGGCTCGTCTGAGACAGGTATATGTCATAACTTTTGCAGCAGTATTGCTTCTGTGGTTTTGTTTTAAGGAAACTGTGCTCTTCGTATGTGCCTAGCAAGCACCCTTCTTTATCAAGTTTCTTGCTTGCTGGATTTCAAACCTTAAGATAACCACTTTGGCTCTATTATATTTTGAGGGCTTCCCATGACTACTAAATTTCTAATCGGTATTTTATTACTGATAAGGAATTGTGCAAAATTTAAGAGCACATTGAAGTGGCTGGGAAGACCACAATTATGTTGCCATATAATAGTTGTTTTTGCTTGGGCGAAGGGGCCTTGTTATAAGATGCTTGGGCAAATGCCATCATGAACTTCAAGGATATCACAGTTGCATACTGTTTCAAACTTCACAGATGTCTCTGTTTATACATCAACTTAAACTTATCTTTTGTATTTTTCTCCTTATTTTTCCCTGTGCAATCAGATTTCTAGTGCCAAGGTCATAGTGCATGAGCCCCGTCCTGGAACAACTGACAGGATTATTGTCATATCTGGGACACCTGATGAAACCCAGGCAGCACAGAGCCTTCTACATGCATTCATTCTTACTGGACCATCATGACAAATAGTTTGTCTGTGAGACATGTTTGCAGGAGGAGATTCCAGCAGGTTGTTTGGTAACCAATTGGGTTTTGATTTTGTCAAATACTGTACGCTAGGTAGGAAGATTCATCCTTCAGGGTTCCTTTTTAACGCCGATCCGGAGCTAAGCGACGTAAATTTTGCTCTATCGGCTTTGTCATTATGTTGAATGGAGAAGAGTCCTGCCATGATTTACTATGTATTCTTCAGAAACAATGTGGAAAGAGTTTGACAAAGAGAGCCTTTGCCTGGTTACCTCCGTCTTTTAAAGAATTAATCTTTTTTGCTCCATGTAAATTTTATTGTAATGTGGCACTTCAGAAAGAGAAAAAAAAATGTGTTTCAATTACTCTGTGAAAGTTAACAAGGTGATGTGTTGATGTCTATAATTCCTCTCTTTAATTTAGATGACAGTGGAATTAAGCGTTAATGAGTAGGGTTTTGTTTGGGTAAAAGCATGTGAACGTGAGTTAGGTCAGTTATCTAGGGCAATGCTCATACGCAGGCACATGAGTTCAAGTTCTCTTTCTCGTAAACTAGTGTAGATTACAATATTGTTTTGCCCGTGCCCGCACTTTTTTCATTTTTCTTCTTGGGGAGAGGTAGGACGGGTTCGAAGGCACAACAAATAAAACAAACTACATTAGAGGATCAAGAGAGGTTTATGCCTAGGCTAAGGCCTTTCACAATAGGCCAGAAAAAGTGAGAGTGATACCAATATATTGAACTCATACTAATGTAATAGTGTGTTAAAGAAATTAAACTCAAGATGCTTGATTCCTATCTATAGTTATCACATTCGCCTGAACCACCGTGAAAGGCCTAAAATATGATCCATATGGTTTTAGGATCTAGAGAGGATGGCCTTGGAGTCTTATTAGACCCTTCTACTCTTTCGTTTCTGTTAGCTCAACTTATTGAAATGAACACTGTCACATTAAATTACTGGAAGTATACAAGTAAATGGAGGCAACTCAACAGGCAAGTACGGGTTTCTCAAAAGTATTTTACAGTCTCCTTCACACAGACAATACATGAAATTGAAACAGGTGCTTGATACTTCTAACTTGTCCCGACTGGCACTGCAGTAGTTGCCTCTGCCGCTGCTGCCGGTTTTGGTTTGAGTATGATCTCTACATTGTCATGGACACCCTGCAGTAGTAGCTCACCATCATATGTGAGAAATTTCCGCCTTTTTGCTGCCCTTAGCGTCCCAACCAACGCTTCGAATATGTTTGCACATCTATCATCATTAAATAGCACCCCAAATGTGACCTACAGAAATAGCACCCCAAATGTTCATACATTGTAGGAAACACAAAGATGATTTACACAAACATTGAAGCTTAAGGTACACGAGTAAAAGGTCGTTCAAAATATTTATAATCTTGTTGTGGTGTGTGTTTGTGTCAAAGTTTTGTACTCTTTGAGGCCATTGAACTGACATACCCCGAACAGCAGAGTAGATAACAGAAACCTGAAGAAATCTGACATTCTGAATTAGCTGAATTGACAGACGATGATTTTACAACATATCAAACACCAGCTAATTTAATTATCATGAAAGTGCATCAGCTATAATTGCTTCATTCAATCCGGACGAGGTCTGTTTCTTTCTCTGTCCCTCTCAGGGGACAAATGGGAAGAAAATTGCAGTTTTCCGACACGAGGGATGCAGAATGAAGAGAATTTGTAACCTAACATATGCTCATCTGTCATAGTTTTTCAACTTATAATGGAGTTATCATCCTATGAACTCTGTATTTACCCAATTTTCACTTACCATCTGAAAGGATCATATACATTTACAAACTTGAATCAAAAGAAGCAAACATCTTGAGACGAATCATGGAAAAATGCGTAAAAATACAAGTAAATCTTATCAAAGCCCAGAAACAATCCGGTCAAGCAAATCTGATGAGCAATAGTAGTACCTGCACGAATTAAGTACCGATCGTTTCGAGTTTTTTCGGCAATTATATCTTTTGATGAATGATAAATTACTCGGCCAAGATCAATCACACCAGCAGAAACTTGTAAACAAGTAGGCATATTACAGATCCAGCATTGACATGGCCCAACAATTTCTAGATCCAAACAGTGAAATCAATACTTGTAATTCGAATTCTAGAGCAGCATTACAATTGCAATTACATATTAACAGTAAGAAAAAGGAAGAGGAGAGGTGGAAAGAGTGGGATTGGATTGCATGATGGTGTTTGTGTGTGAGCGTTGTTACCTTGTAAGAACCATCGTCTTGGAGCTTGCCGAGCCTTTGGATTTCTTCTCTGAGACGCTCGACCTCTTCTTCTACATTCATGGCTGATGATTTGATGGCTTCACTTCTGCAATCCTCCTTGTCTGTGTTACCTGCGTTGGGTGTGGAAAAAGACTCAAGACCGGACCACAACCCCCAGTTGCTCTATCTCTAGCCTCGGATAACGTAAAAATAAAGTTGCTATCCATGTACTTTTTCTCAAATTTTAACCGTCGTATCAAATCTCTACTGTAAAAATGATGTGTGAAAATAACCATCCAAAAGAAATTTGGGATAATAACAAAAACACATCATTATTTAGTTTCTCATACCTTTGTTTAATATCTTTTGGTCGAAAAACTAGACTGATAACCCAAACAAAGCTATTCAATAATATATCTAAACCGGAACATTCCAAGTTGATCATCATGAACAAAACTAAATTAACGAGAATGAGAATTATCAAAGTAAAACTGGTCTAGATCTATACCCTTGTTTAACATTATTTGATATTTTTGTGTGATTTATTCAAGAAAAAATTGCCTAGATGAGCAAATTTTGGGCTACATTTCATGTTGGGACAACATTTATTATACTTATACTAAAACCCAACACAAAATTACTGTTCATTAACAGTAAACAGACTAAAACGCCCCTCAAGTTAGTTTTCAGGCAATAATTTTTTCCTGTTATAAATATATCAAAGTTAGGGAGATAACCTTTTTAGATAGATGCGAAACAGATGTAAAATATCACATTGTAATTAAAACACAATAGATGATCTTATTGAACTTTCCTTCTTTCTGATGTATTCTCTCTGTATGTTTTAACATCAGTTGAGTGCTCTATTTATAGAGCGAATCCATACGTATAAATTCTTAAGGTTTGAAACTTACAACTCATGATTTTGAAAATGTAACATCTTTGTTTCCAAAGTCTTCATCATATTTGTGTGGGTGTTGACAAACAAAACTTATGTGGGCATTCATCAAATAACCGATGGTTTCATCAGCTAATGTTTTCAACTGCCAATAGTGACTGCCAACTGCCAATGGTTTCAACATTTCCTACATTTTAAGGCTTTGTATGAAAGATTATATACACCAACTAAAACCCCTATTTTTTCCTACTTTGAATGAATGAAACATGCCATTTCAAAATGAGTGCGGTGGATTGATATTGCCATAAAAAAACGTTGACTCATTTTGATGACTTATTTTGATGAGATTTATAATGTTGTCTGTCATGTTACAAGTTTTGGGTCTCTTTTTTTTTTTTAATTTTTTATCGGTTTTGTCTGTTCAAAGTTGAATTAAATTATTCTAAAATGTATAAATTTGGCAATTATATTCATGGGGCCTCAATTTTCTTTATGCTGTTACCATAAACGGATATATAATATATCCGTTTCCTTTTGGGTGTTTTATTGAACAACTTGTTTTTTATGTTATATTTGCAAGTTTTCTGTTTGTTTAAATTTTGTTTTTGTAATATAGGGAGTTTTGTTTATCTGTTTACCGTATCCTTTTCAATTTTTTCATGTTTTGTTGATCATAATTTCCAGTGCCGCATTGTATTCCAATGTAGAATGTTGAGCCTTTATATAAATTTAGCTATGAACGTGCTGTGAACATGGACAATCTTATAAAACTTAGTGATCTAATGGTCGATCACTCTCTTGGTTCCAATCAAGGTTAGTGTTTTTTTTATATTAATTCTATAAAAGTATTGGCTTTGGTAAAGTAAATATTTGTTTTGTATTGTCCACACTTCTGTTTAAGTTCTTTTTTAGTGATGGTTTAGCGAATTTCTTATTACTTTCTTGTAGGTTACATGCCTATGGTTTATACGAAGTAAGAATTTTTGGTGATAGGAATTGCCAGCTATCTACAATACTAAAAATCCAATGTAATAGATTGATCGTATTTTGATTTATATTGATTTCATATTGTTCTGCAGTTTTCTGCACTTTTGAATCATGTGTACAAATCACCATACTATCACAAACATGTTTGAAAAGAGATGCTCAAGTAGTTAGCCTGTTGTTGATACAAAAAGGAACCCACCTCAAACAGGCTCAGGTAAATTGAAAAAATCCATCGTTCTCATTTATTAATTTGATTTATGAATCTTAATTGCCTTTTAAACTCTTTAAATTTATTGAAAAGATGATTGTTTTTTATTTGGCAATAATTTACATTGTAAAAAGCAAATTTTGTTCTTAAATTTGTAATTCTTAACCAACTAACATCATTCTACTTAGCTCATTGCTGCAATTGGAAATTTTGCTGTTTGTGGACAGTTGTTTGTCTTTGTACTGCAACAACCGAACAAATCAAATTTACATCGTAAAATTGCTTGATCACTCTGTTATAATATTGAACCCATTTCAATTTCATACCAACCGGATCCTAATTTGTTCAATTTCTTTTCATCAGGCAATTGAGTGTGGTTGGTTGCTATTATCTTTGAGGTGAGATAAAGTTTTGTCTCTGTAGATATATATGTATCTTAACAGGAACTATGGGGGTTGTTACCATTTTTTTTCTCTAAATTTTTTGTTTTTTTTCAACTGCTTCTCAAGAATTTAAGGGCCTGTTTGATATTTGATTTGGATCCAATGTTTTAACTCAAAAACAAGTTTGAGTCACAAATTTAAAATCTTTGTTTGGTAGTGGATTTGAATACAATTCTTAAAACCATAACTAAAAAATATCTGAAAACAAGGGCTATTGGTTGAAAACACAAAAAGTGTTTTTTTAGAGTTTTTATTTTATGGATTATCACTCTCGTCTCTCTCCCTCTCTATCCTCTCTCCCATTCGATGTACTCCCTTCCCTTTTGCCTCTTCAATCTTCTTTTCTCTATTGCTTTTCCAATCCTTTCCCGCTTATATCCACCATAGCCACCACCTCTATCCTTCTTCCTTCAGCCAAGACAAATCGATCTCTCCGCCTTTTCAATCCTCACTTCTATATTGCCTATTCAATATTATCTCTTCTCACTTGCATCCACCATAGCCACCACATCTTCCCTATGGTCATTGGATCTCAGGTTTGAGACCGCCAACATGATTAGCCTCTGTCAGCTCGAGTTTGGAGTAAGGAGTTGGTAAATAGCCAAAGGAGTCGC